ATATATATATATATATATATTTATATATATATATATATATATATATATATATATATATATGACGACAATGACGACAATGACGGCAACGACGACAACGACGACAACAACGACGACGACGACGACGACGACGACTACGACGAGCACGACGGGCCCGACTGGAGAGCCAGGGTCCCGCTATCCGGTCGGCCGCTAGGCCGAGGTGAACGAACCTGAGCCCGCCTACTGACTTTACCTGCCAGCTCCGAAGAGAGCCCAGCCTGGCTATCTCTTCGCGAATGAACACGAGGAGCAAGCCTGGAAAAAGAACGATCACTGGAGAACGGACGGCCCTCTCGCTCGCATACACTCAGTTCCCTCCTCACCTACAAATTTATTCGACGCCTCGCACCCGTCCACGCGACTCTACTAACCGCCTGTTCTTTTCCAATGAGCCGTCCATGAACCTTCTCTGACAGCCTTTGAAATACGTTGAAAAATGACTTTATTTGAAAAATGACTTTATTTGTGTATCCTGCATATTCGCAGGCCGGAACCAGCGATATACATGTGAGAAGGTCTTTATGGATTATTTCTTTTTTTCATACACAGCACTTTTAATTTACGCAATAATACATACATGTAGGTCGAGCGACGACAAATGTGCAGCTGTCACTTTCTTGATGTTGTCTAGTGTCTCAGCTGTCGCGACAATAAATCCGATACGTCTCAACGTGGTAACAATCGATCAATTATGCGTGGCAGTGTCACGTCTAGACTCCGACGCAAATAAAACCACTGCAATCTCGGATACGTAACTATTAAATTAATATCGAACGCTGACAAGAAGAACGCGAGGATTTTCCTCACTTTGAGGATATTGAAATTGATATATTATTTAAATAGCAATTGTGTCTCTGCGGAGCTTGCCATCAGCAATATTTTACAAGCGGCTATTGCTCGCAACCTTTTCACCTGCCACGTCACAATAAAGCTATTACATTTTTCTTTCTTCTCGTTGCACTTGTTTTTATAGCAGTTCGTTCTTTCGACAGTCGACCACCGTTGTCTATTCGCCAAGCAAGGCTACGTGAGTTTCCGCCGATGCCGCTATTCGATTTCGTATTCAGGAAACGTCGTTTCCTTCGAGCGCGAAATAAGAAAAGCTGGTGAGACTGTAATGAAATTTTCCTCGGGAAATTGCGGAAAAGGCGATTGACATGTTAATTCAACGCGATTAAAAATTAATGATGTACCTAGATCTGTACTCTCTTCGTCTCTCTCGTTTATTTTCTCTTGTCTATAGTGTCGATCGTAAATCAGCATGACCTATAAAAGTTTCGTAAAGGCGATTCTTAACGGGACTCGAAGTATAATCATCGAGATAATTAATTATGCAAGTGTCACGGAGAACCTAGACATTACTCGTTATTTTATTTAAGGAACGAAAAAGAATATATACGTACAATTTCGATCAATTAAATTAGCTATGTGAGCTTAATATTAAAAATGGAAAAGTTACGTCTAATCAGATATTTAAAAAAGAGAGATCAGATCGGCTCTACATACGCCAAAGAATCGCCGATTCTTCGGGGGAAAGAACTTTCTCGCCTTCTGCGCCCGCTACGGGAATCAGAGCTTGCAAACTCGCGGCGCTCTCGAGTACGAAGGTCGTTTCGTTGACCCACTGATTCGTTCCACTTGCTCCACCCACGGCCCGTAATGACGTATGCAAGCTTTTTGTAATTATGGGATGTCCGGATGCCAGAATTGTTAAAAGATTAGTTTAAATTAGCCGAAAGGTTTTGACACTCTGCGGGGGAAGAGCTTTTCTTGCTTCATTGAAAAGATGAACGATACAATTATCTCACTTGTTAAATGTTGATCACTATATTAATTTTTTTATCACTATATCAATTTATTATTATCATCGTTGTGGCATTTGTTATTTCCGTTATTGTTAATGTTTTTGTTATATGAAGTTAACAGAATAAAAATATAAATAAAATATGGACGGCACAAGTAAGAAGGAATCGTCAACACACGAAATCCACCTGATGAATTGCAAGAAAAAAGACCTACGGCCGAATTAATAAAACTTTAAATGGCCGACATACACACTGAATTGAGTATCGAGTTCATCGTGGAGGTCATTTAATTTAGCCAATCGTCAACATATTGATATTTACCCTCTGACGCTGCCGGCATTATCTTCGCGATTTCGTGTATCACGTGCGTCGGATACAAGTGTGTGCGCCCGTGTAAAAGAAAAAAACACTTCTCATTAATGTCGCCTTCACGAAATGACTTCACGCGGATTACACTTTATCGGCTCTATTGCATCAAAACAAATCGCTGTTTATCTAATTAAAATTCTGATTTGCATACCAAATTTTTGTATGAAAAACAGAAATTGTAGGTAATATAAACGTAGTGCTATGCTATTAAAAAAAAATTCGGCTCTTTTAAATGACCCAAATCTCCACAAGAAAGCCACGAAAGGTATACGAATATATGCCATTTCCTTGAATGTTACATAAAGTACAAAAAGGGCCATTATCTGAATGATGTCGCGTAAAAAGATCCAAGTGCGAAAGGAATGGAAAAGTGGAAAAAGCATGAATTAACTGATAGAAAATTTGGCGATACTGTCGACTTCCTCACGAAGTCTCTCTCTTCCGTGAAACCGGTTTCCGCCTCTTCTACCTTCTCCCACCCCCTCCTCATCCCCCGCAAACATCAGAAAAAAGTAAACGTAACCAATTGCACCACGGTAACGATGAGCAGCTAGTCAAGCTGGTATTCAAGCTGACGAAAAAGAAGTCGGGCCAAGGTTGACCTTGGTTTCGTTGGATCCTAGCTCCAATCTTCGCAATAAGGATTTCCGCAAAATAAATTCACAGAGGAAAGACATTTATTACACTATAACACGATCTCTATCTTTTATCACTATCTCTATCTCTTATCACTATTTCTTATCACTATCTCTTATTACTATCTCTTTCTACTATGGAACATCTTTTGCGTAAAATTTAAGTATAAATATTTTTTGCATATAATTTCTCTCTACTAAATTTCTCTTTACTTGACATAGTTTATTTAAACATAATTTTTTTTTTTTATTGAATGCCGAACTGAGAATGGACGATATATTTAATGTTTAATGTTTGTCTCTCTTTCTCTCTCTCTCTCTCTTTCTCTCTGATTACGTATTGTGCTACGTTACATCGAATAAGACACTAATAAAATATGTTTAATTTTAAAAATTTTCTGTCTCATTTAAGTATATCTTATTTAAGTGTTTATATCGTACGTTAAATTATCGAACTGTCATTGAAACATCTTTAAATTCATCAAAATGTTATGCAGATTAACAGGCGCAATTACAATGATGAGGAAACGTGCGAATTTAAACGTGTTGTTATAGAGAAATTCATAAATCAAAACAAGCCGCTATTTCATACACTATCTTGTACATGTGTTTCTTTGAAGAGATATCTTGTACGTGTAGACGCCGATATTTTTGACGTAAATTAGTCCGGAAGTAATTTAGTGACAAGCATTTTCGTAATGAATAGACTGGTTTCCTGGCGAAAGCGGATCCCTCAGCGGCAAAAGTCGCAAGTTTAAAAGAGCTGCAAGACGCACGCGGAGGGTACTCACCCGATCTAATGGCCGTGACGTCAGTGACGCAGAGGAGGACGGCGAACACCGCTGCGACGGCGAACATCGTCCTGGTAGTCCATCGCGCTCTGACAAAGTCCTGGGCAATTCCGGAAGCGCGTTCACCACCGGAAGGGCCAATGCGTGGCCGCGCAGCCATCGCACGCCGTCCTGTCTTTCTTTCTATTTGTCTTCGCTCTCTCGCTCTCTCTCTCTCTCTCTCGCTCTCTCTCCCTCTCTCTCTCTCTCTCTCTCTCTCGCGCTCTCTTTCACCCGCACTCTCTCGGTGGAGGAGGGGTATCACAGACACGCACTTTTCACGCAGGTGTATGTCAAGTGTGTAGTGTGCGAATTCTCTTGATCTTCACTCATCCACCGAATTCCCTAAACGTAGAACGCAAACTTGTCCCACGCGCAAGAAACGCGCGTGTGGAGAGAGGCCGAATGCAAAGCGCGTTAACAAAGTAAATTTAAAAAAAAAATAAAAAACGACTACGCGGCACGAGCGAACGCAATTCAATTCATGGCTCGTGCGCACAGCATGAACGCGGTCGCAGCCCGCGAGCGACTGACGCGGCGCGCCAGACGAATCGAACATGGCGCCGTCACGTCAGCCATCCCCAATCGCCGTGGCGGGGATTCTTATTCGTCGTCGGGGTTGGTACAAAAGAACGCGCGAGACGCGCTCCAGTTTAAAATTTTCGGGGTGCTTTTGGTTGCTTCGGAATCATAATTGCCGAAAAATTAAAGGATTCAATAAGTATCTAGGTTAACGTAAAATATATATATATATATATATATATATATATATTAACGTTACATATTGGAAATTCTATAACAGTGTTGTGTATATTTCCCGTTATTGTAATAATACGCCTCAATAATTCTTTGAGGAATCAAAAACAAAAGCAAAACACAGTCAAGATGATTACTTGTGCGTGTAGCATTTTTTCAACAACAATCACAACAGATATTATGCGAGCGAGCATGCGCTTTGCAGTAAGTATTCGCCTCACCTACCGTCGGTCTTTGTGATGGCACGTACTGCTGATATAGAGACGATATTCGATACATCGTCGGTACGTGTTACAATCAAGTAAGATAATGAAGTTATTTTTTCTTGTCAAAAAAGAGATCAAAATGTACAAATAGATAGTATATCAACATATAGCTACATTATAATACAAAAACAAAAGTACATGGTTATATTATGAAATAAATAAATAAACGTATAAAAATAAGAAATAATAATATAGGATGTTCTTCGATGAGTAATCGTCGTTTTAAATTAATCCAATGTGGCAGTTGCGACGGTGATTTTCAACGTGCGAAATGAAAGTCGAGATGGGGACTGGCGACTTTTCATGAACCCAGTCCTAATTCAGGCAGCACGTTTTGTGCAATTATACGTCAAAAGAGGAAGAACAATTTCCGCGGAACTTTCACACGATGACGAAGAAACGAGCAACGCGCCGTTTCTTTATCTTTCCTTGGCAGTTAAATCTTTAAATAGTCCCGGTTGCGAGAATATTGAGAAAATATCCAGACGGCACTACTAAAATTTATCTTAAAGACGTCCGAAAGACGTACTATTTCTTTTAAATGTCTTATGGGTGTTTTTCAGATCTCTAAATAATTTATGCTGTCTGGGACACCTGCGGACAATGTCTCCAAACGGACTTAAAACGGACTCTCCAAATGTCCTTTTCAGTCTGCATCTCTTTATACATTTTTAAATTTTGTTATCTAAATTTATGCGAGCACGAGGAAAATTGTCCGAGATGATGCCACCGGTTGACCTTGCCGCCTTGACGAAGCGCATTTTCAGATAAACTAGCTTAATTGACGTGCGTCTCATCGGACTCCGTCATGTTGCATTACGGAAGTCGGAGAATTTTGGTGATGCAAATGTTTTAAAATGCCACTTCTACGTCTAATATTAAAATATATGTTTCTAGTTTCACAATTCCTCGAATCCGGAACCTTCAGAATATTCGGAGATCCATAGATTCATCAATTTCTATACCTGGATTCATATATCCTTGCGTTCTTAAAGTTCTAAATATCTTATATAGATTTGTTCATAATTAAGATATGTTTACCAATTTTCCTTCCAATCCTCCCTATATTTTTCTTTTTTACTTCTCTCTACTCATTGCCCCTTTTTTTCAAAAGTGATTTTTTATTGTCTTACAATTGTGATTTGATTATATCATTACATGTAATTCAACTTAGTTTATTTCAAATTGTTTACGAAACACAGATTCTTTTATCTTATAAGTCTGCAATCTGCATATCATTAATATATTCTTCTCGACGATCGAACGGCTATTATTTGCAACTTGCGTCACGGCAGATCTGGATTCTCCGAGCGCTCACCTTGAATTGCTCGCGCATGCTGACACGCAAATTTGGAAAATTCCACGATGTAACTGAAAATTGCCGAGCTTCCTCCTTTTACCTCGCGAGGCTTCATTACGAGTACGCGAGCGACCGCGATGAAAGACGCGACGATCCGTGTGATGACCGTTCGCGTTCGATGACCGTCTTTAAATCCGGCGGGACGAGCACGGGGAAAATTGTCAGAGATGATACCACCGGTTGACCTTGCCGTCTTTTCGACGAAGCGCATTTTCAGATAAACTAGCTTAATTGACGTACGTCTCATCGGACTCCGTCGTGTTGCATTACGGAAGTCGGAGAATTTTGGTGGTGCAAATGTGTTGTGCCACTTCTACGTCCAATATTAAAATGTATGTTTCTAGTTTCACAATTCCTCAAATCCGGAACCTTCAAAACATTCGGAGATCCATAGATTTATCGATTTTTATACCTGGATTCATATATCCTTGCGTTCTTAAAGTTCTAAATCTCTCCATTGATAACTTTAAAATAAAAGACCTTTAACCCAGTAAACACAAAGTAACAGTAACATAACATCAATGTTACAATTTCCTACTCAACAATGTAATTGTTATATAACGCGCGTATTATATAACAGTTATATTGTTGAGTAGAAAATTATAACATTGATATTATGTTATTGTTACTTTGTGTTTACTGGGAAGTCTTAGGTCATTTCTTCAAATCTTAGACTTCCATATCTCAACATTTTTAATCCTTCAATTTCTGCATTTTATGACTTGCATATCTTCTACATTTTCTGGTATTCCAAACATCTTATTTTGACCATTCGTCAGAATTCTCGCGATTATACCAATTCCGCCGAATTCCGTCACTTCATAGACTTTGCAATCTTAAATTCTACAGTCATTACATTCGGTCTCTTGAGATCTCTCAGAACTTGGATGACACAGAATTCTAGGTTATTATTCATTATCTCTCCTTTTAAATTGTTAAAGATCATTTCAAGTAAAATATACCTCACATCCCGAAGCGTGCATCAAGATTAGGGTTAGGCAAATCGCGCAGATACGCTGTATTACCGATATGACTCTGCGCACATTTGCCGTCCGCCCTTTCGCGGGGATTCTTCATTCCTCGCCTCGCAAAAAGACTCGTGCCCATCCGTGCCTTTCGACTCGGCCCGATACGTTGCGCATTTTCTCGCGAACACGTTTATTAGCGACGAACGCCGCAAATGCCACAGCCGCTACGGCGGCACGACCTTTTCCATTGTCTCGCGACGTAAATGCGCTCGCCCGTTCGCTCGATCGCTCGCTCGGTATCGTACAGTACCTAAGTCCGGAGCGACTCTGCCTCCGAGACATCCGGATCTCTCCGGATTGCTAAATCGGCTCTCCTCTCGGCCAGTTACATTCGTAAAGTACAGTAAGTAGAATCGGGCCAACAATGTTACCAAGAATCTAGATGCATAAGCGATAAGGTGTTTCGCACTTTTGCCGAGCTTCTTTTGTGCGATCTTTTCCTATCAAAAATTATGATAGATTCGACATATTTTAAATTATAAGAAAACGTTATAAAAAGTTATTAGACCGAAGACATACTTGTTAGGAGCTGCGTTATATATGCGCAAGCCAATAATAAAATCTTATCTTTTGTTTAATTAAAACAGTATATGAGACCTATGTGAGTGATGAATAAGTTATCTATTGTCGGTGGGGTCGGTCAATAACCCTATTGCAACCTACTTAAGCGTCCACTGTTAGGAGCCGGAAGAAGTAATCTCTCGGAGTCGCTACTTCCGAGACAATCTGGCCTTGGAGAAATAAGATCGGCGATACGGTCAAAGGTTAAGTCGCAACTTCGCGACGCGCGACATCAACTTCATCGTCGTCGCCGTTAAATCCGCGCGGATGTACGCATGCGCACGAGTTGCGTGCGCGAGCGAATAGAGCGAGAGAGTGAGCGAGTGACGACTCAAGAGGAAACAAGAGAAAGCACAGTCTGGAGAACGGAGTGGGAGGAGGGGGAGAACGAGAGAGGGAGATGGTACTTAGTTATTTTGCTCGCGCGCTCGTGGGATTGGGTGTGGAGTTGTATGCGCGTCGGCTGGCTGGTACGGACAGGTACCAAATGCCACAAGGTCAGGACTCGTACACAACGTAGAGAGGCCTGGTGCACGATTCTCTCCTCTTTCGGCCCGGAGAACCTCAAGGACCACGATAAGAGAGGGAAAAAGAGGGAAGCGACGCCACGCGTCGCATCGCGTCGCGTCGTATTGCCGTGACGAAATTGCCCCGTTGACAATGCCAACGTTTACAGAAGCAATAACTCCTGTAATGCCCGCTGTAATGTCAATTGCGCGTCTTTTTACGCATTACTGTACTAATATAGGTATCGCTACATATACCACGTACAAGACGCACTACTATGCCTCTTCATGTCGTTTCTGCCGAAAGAAAGAAAAGATAAAATTTTTTATCAATTTAAAGTATACGTGGATGGTCTAATAATTATTAATATCTGAAAGATTTCTAAATCATATGCCGAATCATATCCTGAATAAACGAACTAAACTTTAGCAAGCACAATCTTATAATTTTCACACCCAAAATTGATTGTGCACATTGATAGGAAATTTGAGTTTCGTCAAGATATCTGCATAAAGTTCGATACTGATACACTAAAGAAACTCGGATAATTCTCGCGATATAAACAATCTTTTTATTTGTAATTGAACATTACATGCTGAAATATTGCAGTGCAAAGCGGTACCAGTTGAGAAAGTATTATATTAAATCAAGAAACTTATAAAATTAACTTTGAAATATGCATGAATGTTTTAAAGCTATCGTGTTTAATCGAGGATGATTAAAAAGCCACGCGATTTACCGACATCATCGGAAAGTAATGTCGACGCCGGGTAGGCGTGACGTCAGGAGATTTTAATGCCGGGTCATTATTGCCGGCACGTTGTTTTCACAGGACATTTAACAGATTCATCGCACGACTGTAGCCTGAAGACGCTTGATTCTATACGCAGTAATATATCATTATATTTTAGTCGTCTCTATGACAATTATATCGTCAGCTATAATTACTATGAACACATATATGATTAGAAAAAAATTACTGTTTCCTCAATTTTCTCTTTTTATACAAAGCAACTTTCTCCAAAAAGTCTACTATACTTTCTACTTCCATACTTTTAGTAAAAAAAATAAATCAGGCTTGTTTAATAACTGCTAACATAAAATACTATTTTTCTAGATTAATATATTTAATAATTATTTTTAATATAAATATCTCTTTTCGTCTAATTTTGTATATTTCTTTTAGAAACTTTTATTTTAATTCTCTTATTTTAATTCTCTTATTTTAATTCGGTTCTCTTTCATACGTATATTTTGAGCTCTGACATTTCACTCTACTTGACACGAATAAAATAAGTCTCATCCATGTGGAAGTTAATTGAGGTTGAAAGTGTAGCGATCAAGAATGTCAAGGCGCCAAACTCCGTTAGATGGCCTTGCATGGTATAATCAGCGCCGGAAAGGTAATAATACGTTTCTTTTTCAATATATTTGCAAAAAGTCGTAATGATAATCATATAATTTTTATCTGTTCTGAAATAAAAATTAAAAATATTGCAATTCTTTTGTCGCTAATACACATATATTATGAACAATATTAAATATTTTTACAGGATAATCCGTGATAGTTGTACTACTTAAGAAAAAAAAAAACCGTCTTATCCGTAAAGTCTTACTCGTAAAGTTGAGACGCTTAAAAATAATTCTAATGTTTAAAAATAACACTTTAATTTGACATATAGTAGATATTAGCAATCCGTTAAAATGAACTATCTGGCGCCATCTAGCTGCATCAGGGTTACTATACTGTACAGCGCCTCTAGGATTTAACATTTAAGCTGGGAGCACATAGAAAACTTAAGCAGTAAGACGTAAACAGTAAGCGAATTAGCCAATCACAGTCATTGATTCTTGGACCGTAAGAAGAATCAACAACTGTGATTGGTCAATTTGCTTACTGCTTACGTCTTACTGCTTAAGTTTTTCTGTGTGCTACGGCCCTTAAGCTGGTGGCATATAGAAAAACTTAAGCAGTAAGACGTAAGCAGTAAGCAAATTGACCAATCACAGTCGTTGATTCTTGAACCGTAAGAAGAATAAATGACTGTGATTGGTCAATTTGCTTACTGCTTACGTCTTACTGCTTAAGTTTTTTTGTGTGAAACTAGCCTGAAGGTCCTCACTCATGAAATGACATAATTGCACGTGCATAGCATAATGGCTCCTGCACACAGGACGCGGTAATGCTTGCCGCGCGGCGGAAGTTCGCGCGACAGCCAATCAATATGCTGCTTTCCGTAATAACCTTCTAGCTCTTACGGAAAAACAACATATTGATTGGTTGGACTTCCGCCGCGCGGCAAGCATTACCGCATCCTGTGTGCAAGAGCTATAACGTACTTAGACCCGTTATTTAAATTTCAAAGAGTTCAATTCTCGACCGTGTACAATGAGATACGCATGCAAAAATCTACAGTATATGTAACGTGAACTATAAATTTTCGCATGCGTATCTCATTCGCATACCGTCAAGAATCAAGACCCAGAGCTAGGCGCTAAAGTCACTATATATAAGGAGTCTGTTTTCTGTTCCTATACTGCTGAATTGGTGCAATAAGTTAAAGTGAGACAAGTATATTTTTCTCGCTCTAACTTATCGCACCAATTTAGCAGTGCAGGAACGAAAAACAACCCTAAAGTATCGCAATCCGTGGTTACGACTATCGACATAGACAGTTGCGTTCGGCAAGACTTCTTTGATATTTCGTGTTGAGAAACCTAGAAAGAAAAAGCTAGATGTGTGGGCACGGATCTCTCTTTCTACTCTCTGTTCATTGGTTGAATTTTGTCTAAGGAGAAAGGGAACAGTATCGTATCCTTAAAAGTTGGGAACGTACGTTACTATATATGATTACATTGTCACGTCCGACTGAACAGGCTGCCAGCCAGTGATAATTTTTTGTCCAAATAATCCTTTACCTGAGACATTTCAGGTACGAAATCCTTTTTTCCCAAAAGGAAAGCATCACTATTCCTAAAAACGGGATCACAAAAGCTCAGCAGCAGTAGAGTAGACCGGCGTAACAGTCAGTCAGAGTCGGGTGCCGGGATCGGAAGTCCTCACCTCCAAATCTCATTTCTCTAATTCACTAATTCTAAACCTTAGTTCCCTCTAATTCTTAAGCAATTAACTTTAGGTTATCTTTAACATTATATATATATATATATATATATATATATATAATCTGTAGTAATTCTATTTCTATTCCCTCCCATTCGAACATCCTTACACGGCACATTTCCTTCTACGCCTAAGCAAAACCGCGACGTGCAGTGTTCCTCCCTAGTGCCCATCGGTCAATTACAAATGATTCGAATATTCGAACTCGCGCGATCCAGAACGAGGTTTCCCAGAGTCGGCAGCATCTAGAGGTCCAGAAGGTGCCACGTCTAGAGATCCACGTAAGCCACGAGAGCGCCATCCATGGGTACAGAGAGCAATCGCACGGTAAACGACCACTGGTACCATAGAAGGAGGAGGGCATACTAGGTGGCGGCGGAACGCCGTGCGCGTTCGAGATCTGCGTATCTTTTTCGTTCCAGAAAGAGAAAAAGATCGAGAGCGCGGTCTTGCTAGGCTGGGATTCGAACCCGGGTCTTTCGCTTGCCGGACGACTGCTCTAAACCACTGAGCTATCTGATGCTCCACGCTCATGACACTCTCCTCTTCCTAGATAACGCTCAGAGATGCCGTTCGGAAGCGACATCTCTGGCGCGATCCCGAGCGCACGGCGACTACAGAGAGAAACAATGTTACTGTACCAAATGATACAGCTGTCAGTCTCTCAAAGTCAAAGGTTGCTATCCTTTAAGACCTGCTGTCCATGTATGCCCGTCTCCACCGTTGCCCCTCCTCATCCGGTGCAAATAATACAAATAAGCCCCGGGATCGACACCAATTTTTTGGCAGCCCCCGGGTGCTTGGACACAATGCGCCATGGGGGATCCACCATAGAAGGAGGAAGGCATACTACGATTAAAGCCTGCGACTGTCCGATCCATCGTAAGGTTATATTACGGTGGCTATACTACGCGTCTTGCGCGAAATCCATCGCAATTACCCTTGATCGCACGAATCCCCGGGTAGAATCACGCGATTCGTTTAGCCCGAAAAATTGCGATCTGATCCTGTGCTAGGGTTCGAGCGCTATTCTTCACGGCAACGTGGCCGCAACCCGCCGGGACAACATGTGACGTGTAATATATATATATATATATATATATATATATATATATATATATATATATATATATATATATTACAAATTTTTTTATTTACTCTATAAACATTTTTATATTTCATCTTTTCCTTATATCCTATATTCTTATTGTTATAAAAAAAATTAATTAAAATATTAGAATTGTAAATGCCTCGTGGTCCCATTGCTCCATAAATCGCTCCTACTCACACATCGTCTTGTCTCTTTCTACGTCTGTCAATACAATTTCGGCACAATGCTCATGCTTCTCTCTAGTTATATTATACTGTCACGCCATCTATAAACACATCAGACATTATGGTTACGTTCGCTTTGGGTGCTTACGCGCTGTAAGCGTCATTCTATCTTTATCGCTTACATACGGGAAGAAGATAGAATGACCCTTAAGCGGGAAGCACACACTCTTGCATAAAGGCATAATGCACAACGCATAAGAAAATTGACCAATTAAAATCCTCATTTCCATTGCGACCAATTAAAATCCTCATTTCCACGATGAAAATAAAGGACTCTGATTGGTCAATTTTCTTATGCGTTATGCATTATGTCTTTATGCAAAAGTATGTGCTTCCAGCTTTACAGCGCATAAGCACCCAAAACGAACGCAGCCTTTATAGATACCCCGTAAAACCTAATTTACTCATTTGTTATGTTGCTATGCTAGAGAACGGTTGATGTAAGAACGACAACGATAGTTATAGTCGCGAGAGTCTTCGTCGTCATCAACATGGACAAGCTTACGAAGCCACAGATAATTTGTCATATCGAAAAATCAGTGGATTACTCACTGTTTGACGCCAAGTGGATACCATGCAGCGCAAAATTTGTAGTGATGGGCGCACGACCTAGAGGTACCGGCATCATTCAAATCTACGAGGTGTCCAGCGGCGAATTAAAGTTGATCAAGGACATTGAGAGATCCAATCAGATGAAATGCGGCACATTCAAAGCTTCTAATATTCGAGACCGACACTTAGCTACTGGCGATTTTAAGGTTATTTTTTAATTTTAATAAGTTACTATATATATATTCAGTGTTCCTACTTAATCTTTTATAATGTTCGTGTGTATACGTGTGATATATAAGTAACAAGTTAATTCTTTTATAGGGTAAATTAAACATCTACAATCTGGAAGATCCTTCAATCCCAATTTACAGCGTTAATGCTCACAAACAGATCATAAATGCCATTGATGGGGTAGCTGGTGCTAACGTAGGATGTGGCGCACCTGAAATAGTGACAGGATCCAGGGATGGTAGCGTAAAAGTATGGGATCCAAGGCAAAAAGATCGGCCGGTTGCTATCATGGAGCCTAGAAAAGGCGAAAATCCGCGAGATTGTTGGTCAGTCGCGTTCGGCAATGCTTATAATTCTGAGGAAAGAGTTGTAGCTGCAGGATACGACAATGGTGATGTCAAAATGTTTGACTTAAAGATGATGTCAGTGAGGTGGGAGAGCAATCTGAAGAACGGAGTCTGTGGTCTTGAATTTGACAGAAGCGATATTCCTATGAATAAGCTGGTCGCCACTACACTTGAGTCTAAATTTTATCTATTCGACCTAAGAACTCAGCATCCAAAGAAGGGCTTTACATATCTTATGGAAAAGGTCTTATATCTACTATCTAAATTCAAATTCAGTAAATCAAGATTCACATTGAATCAAGAATCAGTTTATAATATTGACTGTTAATTTTAGGCTCACAAATCAACGATATGGCAGGTCAGGCATTTGCCTCAAAATCGAGAATTATTTGCGACCTGTGGTGGTGGTGGAACAATCTGTCTTTGGAAATAGTAAATATGCTTTTTAACAATGCTTCAATTATAATTTATTTATGTTCATATTATCGGAAACATAGTTAAAAGATATACCTAGATAGCACAGAGAATTCAAAAAGAATTTAGTCATATATCACCAATTCTGAGTTCATTTTCAGGTGCAGAATTCTTCAAAGTTTAGTGAAAAGAATTCTTTTTGCATCTAAAAATTAACTCCGAATTGGTGACATACGACTGAATTCTTTTTGAATTCTGTGTGCTATCTGGATAGTTAAAAACTAATTAATATCTTTTATTTCGTAGTAATTATCCAGAGAGAAGAAAAACCACTGATACCGAAGGGATCGAGCAAGGAGTCGCCGGTACTGTCAGTCTTTTGCAGAATTGCACACTTTCGTCGCAACCCGTAAGTTCACTAGATTGGTGCTCGGACAAACAAGGACTCGCTGTTTGCACTTCGTTTGATCAATGTTTACGTGTCATCATCACTACGAAACTGAACACTTATTAATTAGATGTAGCATAGAAGTGTTTATAAATAAATCTATTTTTTATTTATTTATGACGAAAAATTTAAATTTGTCTCAGCACACGTATGTGATGTTAAGATATTTTCTCGTGCTGTAAATAAACATTCTGAAAGCGTGTCCCCCTTAAATTAAGAAACTTGAACCGACAACTGTCAATTACTTCAACTTGATTGCAAAAGATTTTTCAATTCCTACACAAGAGGAAAAATCTTGCAAGGACCATTAGCAAGATTCAAAAAGCGTGCGCAAGAAGCTTCACAATATTCTCCGCGAGATAACGCTTTGGCGCTTCGGAAGTCGAGCTCGAGATATCGATTTCTCGTGCGCGCACAGGCGCGAAGTTTATTACGCAATTGCGAATGGCGGCGGACAAAAGCGAATTATATGTCATTGGGCCAATCTATTTAGGATCGGACCCTTATTAAGCATCAGCCATCTTGCGCGATGGCGCGCGAGCATTACGCAATGTCGCGTCGTATGTCCGCCATTTCAGGCACGCTCGGCCTACGTAGCGTACACCTCCGTTGCATCGTGCGAGGGCGCAGCGTGCAACCCGAGCGCAAGCAAGGTCATGAATATCTCGATTTTAATTACATGAATTACTCGCCGCCGAGTCTACCTCGCATTGTCGCGATATGTCATTGCTGCTAGCAAACACGCATTCACCTCGTTTACACTTCCTACACATTAAATCTCTTTGTTCTAGCTGCACTCTCTGCACTTGAGAAATCAAATAGTTGTGACAAACTATACGTAAATCCCTTACGTACGTAAAAACTTCTGTAGGCAATAATTTTACTTTCCTCAATAAAATTACGTAAGAAGAAAGTATATACGCCAATCTAGACCGACATTCCGAGGAAAAGTTGATTTTACTTGCAGATTTAGCAACTTGGAACTGGACAAGTGAATATTTTGTATTTTTCGTCAGCTTGGCACATGTTTAGTCATTAATTTGATCATTGGTTTTCATGCTCTGCCGCATATTTGGCGGCACGACAAATATCTCGTGTAAAATTTAAACGTTAGTGCAATAAAACGTAGTACTTCATCTCATGTCTCCTGATCTTGTATAATTAATTTACATGTATCTCGTATAACCACCAGATATGTGCAGGAGTTAGCTATTAGGATTTGTATGAACACTTGGTGCTACTATATGCTACTTGATCTATTATTAAGTCAATTCAGTTTTATATTTTATTGCTGTTTTTATAAATCTCCCAAAAATCAAAAGAATTCGATTAATTTTAGTAATGGCCATTGCTCTATAATTTTATCTGCAGAAATATGCTCAAAATAATTCTCTCAATCATAATTGAAATATAACACTTTAATTGCGCATTGTATCTGTTATCCGACTATATTCTCGCATGAATGAGAAATTACAACTTACGTGCGTGTTGCCTGCAACTTAAACGTTATATTGCATGCTGCACTGCGTTATATCACGACGACGTGACAGTTATATATCTATGTTTGTTGGATAGATACCGTGAGTACGTGTTAATCGAAGCAAGACGAAGGTATAAAGACTATTCTGGACGTATTCTAAGTGTCGGTTGGCCAATTGTAACAGCAAGGTGTATGTATCTTACACGGGTTCGTAGCGTGTGTATCTACTGAACACGTCGACACACAAAGTATTCACGTAGCGTGCAATACCTGGACTCCTATTTTCGTGCTTTGATGGCGCACTTGGTGCGGTGGACTCTTCGACGATTTGGTCAACGTCCAAGATCCACGCGCTATGGCTTCGTAATACCTCAGGTATTACGAAGTAAAAGGAGCCCGTCGTAGCCCTCGGATAATTACTCTGCAGATTTTTCTATTCCACCCTATTCTGAACAACCAGACTATCCAAACAATAATCTAGATAATGATACTACTTTATAAAGCCATCAGATAGCTCTTTGGTCTAGATCCAAAGTAATTTCCTCTGATTTTTCTATAGCTTCACATGGAGGAGTATGATCTATTAAGATTATCCATAAGACGTGTCCAACCGAATGTGAGGTCTAACATCATTTCTAGATACTTTACCGTACTACTGAAAGTATTACCTTTTTTGTCTCAGGTCCCAAGTGGCTCAATAAACATCAATTTGTACTTCCTGGCGAAAACTACAATATTGACTTCAAACAGGTTTATACCATAACATCCTTGATCTCACCACAATCTTTCAACAATCTTTCAGGGCCCTATTCATTCGTCCATGAGAGTTTAAAAAAGCAGTTTTTTATCAAATTAGTCATCTCGTAAACGTAGTTTTCCATGAAAAAGGAAATCCTCTTTCCGTTTATAAAAAAAAAAATCATCGACTATGGAATATCATAAAGAGGGAAAAATTTGAAAGTTAGGTTAAGTTATACATTTTTTACTTATATTCAAATTTAAATATTAATAGCTTTTTTATAAAAAATTAAATTATTTTGAGCTGGTTATTAAATCAAAAGAATCTTTATGGTTAACGGTTAATTATATTAATGAACATATTATTTTATGTACAAAGATTCTGTAGCTAACGGACTGATGATAATATCAAAAATCAAGAGATGAAAAATGAAGAAAATGAAGAGTTATAATAGTTTTTTTTTTATTTCTTTATTTTTATCTTACAAAGTTTTTACAAAAAATTTTTGGTAAAAATTTCTAATGATAAGCTTCTAATAATAAGCTTACCTATTTTATTTTATTAAAATACAGACAACAATGATGAATCTGTATAAACATCTTTAACGTGATTTTAAAATGCTAGTTTCTTCATCAGCAGGTACATGTATTGATCTATCTCGAAGCCGTGTAGGTTGTTCGCGTCACCTTGTAGCCTCATCAGTAGACCTCCGAAGGATACATAGGCTGATCTGGAAACAAAATGAAAAGACGACGATCAATCATAAGTTTGCGTCGTGTCCTATACTTAAAACTGCTTCGGTATATCGCTAAGAGAATTAATCGATCCGGGAACGTCGCACTTTAGTATTACAAAGTTCTTAAACGGTTCTCGCGTTCGAGAACGAAATTGTCGCCCTTATTGAGGTCGTTAACGGCGGTGGGTCTTCCCGCTTGTCGAGTTGCGATCGTCATAAGAGCAGTGCCGATAGCGGTCGTGCATAGATCAACGACACAACCAGCTAACCACACTGCCAACATGCCAATCGCTAAAGAAACTTCTGCCTTTAAACGATCAAGACAAAGACGTATCCTCTGCTGAAGATGCTTCGGAATCCGAAAGTTTGATCAGCCTTCTTGGCCGATCTTTCTTCATGCTTTGCAGTTTTAGTTTCATATGATGCATACGCCGAAATATAAACCTTCGTAGCAAGCCCTTTGTTGCTTTGCGATGTATAAAAACGTTGCCTTCACAGGCCGTGAAATTCGATTTTGAGGAGAATATAGTCATATTTTCTAATTAAACATCGAAATAATTGAGTAGAGCACAATGAAACCGCGCTCTCTTCAAACCGGTTGCCAATGAATCGTTTGTTGCTTACATAATTAATATCGACGCCTTGGGATAAACCATTAATGTCAACCTACGACTTGGAAACACGCACATGCCGACATTCTTCGTCCTTTTAGCTCTATCATACGCGTGACATTGTTCTTGCTTCGACGTTTCGACCTTAAAACGCATCCTCTTATTACGCGTCGGACGTAATTACCTCAACGAGACGGTAGCACACGGGACATTAGTATGTAAATCGAAAGTTGGATACTGCAGAACGGACGACGCCAAAGTGCGCAATACTTACGCGTCGATCGCGGAAGCGCCTCGTCCGAATCCAGATTTCGCGCGACTTGCACGTTTGCGAAAGAGATGAGAGGAAAATGCGAATACCTCTAACCGACGGGAATACTCGCACGTGTTTACGAGATTCCCCGCGATCGATTGACCTTGCCTCTGACGAATCTCTGGCACTAAGAGACCGTCCCTATAAGAGCCAATTATTTTTAACCAAGTATTTCGAGCTTCCGCTTGCATGCGCTCTCTCTCTATCTATTTATCTATCTATCTTTCTGCTTCAACTTCTCTTTCTCCTCTGCTCTCCTTCTCTTCCTCTCATCTTTCGCACATTCTTAATCTGTTTCATATGTCCTATCTTTATGTCTTATTTAATACGCAACGTAGTTTCAGACGTATTCCAACCAAAAGATTAGATATAAATTAGATATAAATTCAATTATCCTATCACTTAATTTTTTTATTTTGCTTGCCCAATTTATCTATGATATTTATGCAACGCAATATTGCAAAAGCTGATTTTATTTAATCCAAGTTTACGTTAAATGCAAACGTATTTTGAATAAAGAGATGTACTTTCCTTTTACATTTTTCACCGTTTTGCCTGAAATTTTGGAAAAGATTTTTTTTGCGATAAGCAATTCAACAACTTGTACTTTTCTTTTACTCGTATATTTATTAAATTTAAATATCTAAATAGTTAACGCGGATAAAATAATTCAAAAGCAATTTCTGTCAATTAATAATTTCTCGACTTAACTTCTAATTATTGACTTTCAGTTAATAATTAACCGATAATTGAACTTTGTTTTGAATTGAGAATTAATTCTTATGAATAAGTACGTTCCTGGCAGTAATTTCTTAATAATGAATAATAAATAAAAATGTTCATAAGAATAACGAATTTGCCAAATGACAGAATCAGAAAAAAAATGTAAACATCTGACACATAATCGCCTGGATGAGATTTTAAACAAGATTGCATTTCGATGTTACGTTCGCTAACTTCTCTTATTACTTTAATGTCGCGGAAAAAATGTTTCATATGTTACAACGGACTGTTTCGTCAACTATTATAAATTATTCGCTAATAAAGGCGCTGGTGAAATTAAATGAGGAACGCATTAGATGATTTTTATTGCCATTCGAAATACAATATGTGATCCTATGGTATATAAACGATGTGTATGTATGTGCGTGCATAATTGTACGTTACGTATGTGCAAACTCTTGTTACATGAAACGAGCGTATAGGCTGCACGCGTATTTCGCCGTTAACAAGTCCCTCGTTACAGACGATTGAACATAATCGTAGTCTATTCGGGGAGCTCTGTTGTTACTGATATCGGGAAGAAAGAAAAAACAAATAAAAAAGAAAGAAAGAAAGAGGAAACATTCGTCGGCGCAGCGCACACATTCGTCGCTTCAATACATCTCTTCCCTTTCACACAGGGAGCATATATTGTACAATATAGAAATAGGAGCAGTAAAAAGCGACGCTTAGAAGGCACAGTTCTGTTGGCGAGACTTTATTTATCGCGTACACATGGTGTAGCTTGAAATGGATATGCCGTATATGACAATTATTCCATAGAATTCACGTTCGCCTGCAATTCGCCGTCCATTTGTCTCAATATCCCAATATTTACGCGACACAAACGCCGTTACTAATCGCCGTCGCTAATTACTACTTCAAACGTATTCCCGAATCAAAATTGCCAGCCAAAACAGGTACTTTGAGTCTTAATTAGCAATTATATACCCGAAACGCTGCTGTCTTAAAACATTACGCTATTATTTACTGCACACGATTATAATTATAACTATTCCTCGGACAATAACAAGATTTCCCTAAGGAATGCTAAATTCACTCGTATTCGCCGTGCTCCGTTTTTAACGAACTCCAGAGAAACAGCTCCGACGAATAGTCGCATACAATTGTAGCTCGCTGTCCCTCGTAGTAAGAATTATCCATACAGTCTGTACATGTTGATTCTTATTTACACTAACACGGCATTAAATTGAGAATCGACGATGTATCACTCCGTCGCTGATGCCGGCTGACAGAAGAGATGTCGTACCAGATAGTGCATTTACAGTATTCAGGGCCCGTGTAAACGCGCATCTGGCACGAGCCCCAACTGCCCTGTAATCTCATATTGGCTCGCTTCCGCTAGTCTCGCTCTCTCTCTCTCTCTCTCTCTCTCTCATGCTCTTTTTCTCTCATTTATCCGTTAATTTCCGCATTCTGTTTGCTCCAAACTCCCCCCCTCCCCTCCTTCTTTCTCTCTCTTTTACTCTCTCTTACTCGCTTGTTCTTCCAGCACCCTCTTTCTCCTTTATAAATGTCTTTACTTCACCTACACATGCCATAAATTGCTATTTTAAATAACATTAGAGTAAGCAAATCTATTTTGGAACAGCACCTATTTCGAAACACTTTAATTTTTTTTCTGTATTAGCCGTCAATATCAAATTTTCATGTTAGTAACAAAGAAGATATTTGACGGCTAATACAGAAAAAAAATTAAAGTGTTTTGAAATAGGTGCTGTTCCGAAATAGGCTCGCTTACTCTAAAAAAATGTGTCTATGATCAAACAATAGTATTTGATTCGCATCTAACCACAGTTAAGTGTAAAACGTGAAATTATATAACGACGCTCGGATCACGCGACTAAACGCACGCATAATTAAATCTTTGTTTCGCGACGCGACATAACTGAATGAGAATGTAATTTGCTTTTGACCTTACATCGTGCGCTCGATAAATTTTCATTAAGCAAAGTTCTTCGAGGCTCTCTCTCTCTCTCTCTCTCACTCTCACTCTATATACATAATCTGAGGGATATTTTATTCCAGGGCGAAATGAATACTCCATTCTACTCTACTCTCGCTCTCTTTGAGATAACGAAAAGTCACTACTGCCTTTTGAGTGAAAACGGTAGAGTGAGGAGTCGAGGGTTTTCTCGGCCGAACCAGCGGCGTGTTCCAGAAGGATGTCAGCTGATGCTATTTTCCCCTCGAAGCGCGAAACGAGAAGAGGACGACGCTTCTAATAATAGCAGTCACTGTCCCCGGTGCCGCGACGCTCCGGCGTCGGGACGCGTCGTTTCATCGTGCTAACACGCGAATCATGTTAACGCACGCCTCTTCTCTCAACGCTTTCAGACAGTTAATCTTTTCAGAGACCTGCCGATGTATCTCAAGGACGCTACCAGTCACCGATGTTACTTCCGAGTTAGGGCGGTCTCGTTACTTTAAACTTATTTGCATCACATTGATGATTTTATATTCCAGAACAAGTACATTTTCCCGTTACGCATTCGAAAACACGCGAAAAGTGAAATTGCTCTGCCCGCAAAATAATTCATTTACGTTTATTTATTTATCGCGAGGCGCGAGATATTTTCGATTAATTCGCGTAAATTTCAAATTTAATCAAATTTTATTACGATGATAAAACTGATAATTTTCAATTACCCGTTGAGGTAATCGCCAAAATTCGCTCATGTGCACTGTCGATTTTTAATCACGTGACGTCATAACGACGAAACGTTACGGATTATCGCGTGGAACTATTCACGCGCGTTGCTTTAACGCGATATGGATTCTCGCATTCGTTGAACAAACTGTCGTATCGCTACCTCGTTAGAGTACGTTATTATTCAAGGACGTAACGATTGGTATTATAACATTCGATATCTCGGAACTAGAACGACCGACCTCGCTCTGCGGTTTGGTACTGGGAGAACTCAGTGCCGTCTGTTCGTGGACCTAAGACGTTTCTCATACCTACTTTGATCTACTTGTCTATTTATTAACGAGATAAAAATCCCCTTTGGCGCATGGAACGTCCTGAATAAACACATCAGCGGAAAATTGTCTCGCGGACAACTCGGAAATGAAGCTACGTGAGCGAATAACGAAGGAGCAGGATAAGTAACAACGAGAAGAAAAGAAGATATGTTTCGTGTCCTCGAAACTAATGATCCTTTATCCCGAGACCGCGGCGTGGAACGACATCGATCGCTGGAAATCCCCAGAACGCAAACGTGCTCGGGGTTCACGGGTTCACGGGAAATCATATATATCGTTACACCACGCCGCTGCAGTTCCGC